CATTTTGTTCATAATATGAAACATAAATATTACTAATAAAGAATACAACGTGCACTATAAAAATTATTTTTCGATGACGCAGAACGGAAATAATAAAGAATATTTGAATTATGACTGCATTATTGCTCCAAATTAGTAAGCATGGTTCTTAATCAGAAGAACTGACTTTGACTGCAAGGTTGGCGCAGTGGCTGCCCAGCCACTAGCTGCCGTGCAACGCGTTCGGGTTCGATTCTCTCGCGGAACAACTCTTTGTGTGATCCACAGATTGTTATTCCGGGTCTGGGTGTCATGTATATGTGAACTTATATGTTTGTAAATGTACCTAAAACACAGGAGAAAATCCTATTGTGCGGCAAGGTTTTTTTTTAAAGAAAAATAAAGCAAACAAAATTATGTTTTCCTTACCCCTCAAAAAAAGGGAAAATCATCCAATGACTTCTCCTGCCTTAGGAGAAGGAGTTTCAGACTCTTACCGTGTCTAAAACCAGCCTAATCTTATTCCTGCTTCAATCTGGTGCCCAGTCGGATACTGAAGTCTTTATACGATATCATAAACAGAAACTTAAAATGTTCTCCAATAAAAATTTCTCGTTTCATACCTTCTCTTTTAAATCGACATCATACTTATGTAAATTTGAAGTAATACACAAATACGAACATCAAAAACAAAATATTGTAAGTAAATTTTCATTCATTTACTCATTCCCACTCAGACTTGTTCCGTGTTAGTTATTTGAGCTTCGAACAGCCTATTAACTCCTTCCATTGTGTCACCTCTATGAGAAATTTAAGAATGCTAAGCCTATGTTCTAGTACACATCAATTTATACAAACCCAGTTTATTCTGGTCTCGCTTTGTATAGACCTTTTTGCGAATTCGACGGTCAATTTATATTGGTTTTTGTAGCTTGGTGTGAAGTCGTGTGTACTATTCAAGGTGTAAAACTCAACCGTGGAAAATCGTTTTGCATTGCACCATTGCGGTTTTACAAACTTTTGTTTTTTACTTTGTTGCTTTTAGTTCCCATGGGGTTTCTACGTATGTGATTGATTGATTGATGTATTGTCTACCTTAGAAGATGAGTTATATGCTGTTATTATTTTATTAGACAACAAATGACAATGGCAGGTGACCAAGATGCATCCACGTTTTGTATATTTGTATTTGTATGAATGATATTTAAGACAATAGTTCCCATCCAATAATAAGTACGTACCTAGTGTCAATTTACCACTTTCGGCTTTAATATCACTTGTATCAAGATACATATTATTAATGTATGGAATATGACTAAGTATTTTATCACTAGGGTAAAAGAATTAACAACAGACACACTCTTAGTTTCTGCCTCCATAAATATGTGTTTTCTTTTTAAGGGGTGAAAATCATTGAATGACTTCTCCCGCCTAGGTGAGGCGGGAGGGAGTGTCAGACTCTTACTGACTAAAAACAACCCGTTCCATCTCCTGCACGTCGTCGAGCCGGAGCCCCGGTAATCCGTAAGGTTCTCCACGACTCCGAATCGGCATCAGCTCTATTGGACCCCATCCGCGGTGGTCTGATGGCTCTTTAAGGCGCGCGCGAAACTCGACGCGCCGTCATAAATATGTGTACGGGATGGTGATGATAGCTTCTTCCTTAGGCCAAATTCATTCTCGAAATCAATGCAAACATTTTGGAAAACATCAGAAGATTACCATTACAGAAAGGATATGGTGAGATGTCGTATAACGAATATTGTCGACAAATGAAATTAGCATAATCGGTGCCACATGTCACGTCGGGGTATGAGTAAGACCAATGACTCAACTACACTGGACTGAATTTAATAAATGAAAGGGCTGTGCGAAATGAGAGCACATTGAAATATGAATGATATCTTGTTGTCACCAAAACTACAAGTATAAGTTAAAGCCAGAAATAAATCGCTAATTAGAGATGAGTGTCTTTAAACATAAACAGCGCCATGTGCTTGAATTTAGAACTAAAAATTGCAAATAAATAATTTCAATACAACTAAAATAGTCGCGAAGAATCTAACGGGTTACCGGGGCTCTGGTTCGAAGTGCAGGAGAAAGAACGGGGTGGTTTTTAGTTAGTAAGAGTCTGACACTCCCTCCCGCCTCACCCAGGTGGGAGCAGTCACCCAAAGATATTCCCTTCTTAAAAAAATGCACCTAATGTATGGAAGGCAAGACTACAAAAGTAGGTTAATTAAAATAATAAACGTAGACTTAAAAAAATAGAATAGAGACAATAAATAAGACGACAATGTCAAAATTTCAATGCAATAAAACAAAAAGCATAAAATAGGATGTATAAATAAATTGAGAACGCTGAAATTACTCCTCTCAAAATCCATCAAATTTACAACGGCCACGTGAAGCGCATTAGCATTAAATGCTCTTTAAAGTAAGATGCCATATGTCCCTACAATTTCCCTTAAAACCCACATTTACAACCACTATACAGGGATCAAAGGGATCGTTAAAAACATCCAATAACGAGTCCTTTTCACGGCAAGGAATTACACAAAAAAATGTATAATCGTTAAAAAATGCCGCCGGTCCATTTTTTGAAGATTGTGACGTATTGAACGCGGCGATATGTAAATTTTACGACAGCTTCACTTTTTTTATAAATCGTAAAACGATATTTCGGGTATCTTAGACATTTTAACTAAAGACAGGAGCAAAAAAGTCTCTCAGCACTTTAGAATAAGATTAGGAGTTTTTGTCCAATAAGTAAAACTTTTAATACTATCTTACAGTAAAATTATTTAGATTACATTGTAGTGATACCTACATTGAATGTTTCTAATGTAACAAATTGGGTAATTCAAAATCATCAATCATCAATCAATCAAAAATAAATTATTTTGATTGTTCAATGCAATAAATATTAAAAAATCACATTTTCATTAATTGATTTTATGGCTAACTTAATTTTAGTATGTTTATTTATTTATATATGCTTTATTGTACACATTTATGTAGTTTAAAACAAACAATTAAAAAAAAAATTCTTTAAACCCAATTCAAGTAAATATGCGTACAATGGGCGGTCTTATCACACCATGGTGTTTTCACCATTTAAAAAAAATAAGTAAGAGAAAACTGTCGTTTTTGACAGTTCGAAAAAAGTATTGAATTTGACTAGTTGCCACGTACCCAATTCAAATTACATTATTGTAAAGATTATCTTACCAGGTTGTCTAAAAACATAGTCTTACAATTTAACTTAATTATCGTATTTAAAATACATTTCGAAATTAAAAATAGCTTCCACTATTTTCGGGAGTTAAATTAACGTTTGTATCGCTCTCTGGAACACAGCTATAAAGCCACGTTGACATAAATAATACCAAGGTGCTGCCGACAACGTGGAATGATGTACATTTTGAATGAACGTAAACAAATTTAACGATTGCGGTTGAAAAGTTTGAATTTCAACGAATTTGCCTCTTATATTGGGGTTATAACGGAAATCGTTAAATTGACACATCGTTATTTTATCGTTAAACCCTTTTTTATGGTCACAAAAGTTTATCAGGTGCTTAATAAGTTGATGGTTTATAGTTTTTTTGTTTGCTTTGAATACAAATGTACGGTGTGTAGTTGGCAGTGATGTATAAGATACCTTATACAAAGTATCTGAAATACTAGATGCAAGATACTTTTAAAAAAAGCATTTCAGATACCAGATACAAATACTTTTCTAAAAAGGTATCTGAAATACTAGATACAAAATACCTATCTTTAAAATACTTTTTAAAGATAAAATACTTTTGTAAGAAAACATCATTTAATAAATTTTAATTGAATGTAAGTTTATTCGTTTTATTTGAAAACAGTTCTCGGATAGACCGCGTTGATATCAAGGATCAGGCAAATGTGACAAGACAAAATATGTAGGTAAGTTCGCGATCCCGAATCTCACATAGGCGATATTGTTATTTATTAATTACAATATTTTATTTTAAACACCATACACCACGTCCACGTACACACGAAAAACCTCAGCGAAAAACTTACGGAAGGAGTGACAGTGACACTAGTGACAGATCACACTCATTGACAATCTTTTTTTTTGTATTATTTGTTTAAATTTTAATTTTGGCATTGACGATCTTACTTACTTAACCGATGACATTTGTAAAAAGATAGTGTCGCCATCTGTCATTTAGTTTCCGATCCGTAAAAATATGGTATCGAAATAAACGACGCGCTGCGTTCAGTTGCGTTCGGAAAGAAAAACTGCGAAGTTTATTTTAGTAAAAGTATCTTAGTGAACAAAGTATCTTCAAAATACTAAGATACCTGGAAAATGTATCTAAATATAAGATACAAAATATAAAAATTAAAAAGTATTTCAAATACAAGATATAAATACGTATTTTGTATCTTGTATCTGTATTTCAGATACTTTTATCTAAGATAAGTCACATCACTGGTAGTTGGATAGTGGAGCCTTTTAAAAGTTTGCGAGACGAACTTACTTTGTAATTTATGTTTCTTTGTGTGGAATGATGAATGTGTTCTGTTTTCAAGTTGTGGTTTTTTGAGCTGACTAACCAAAGTTTGCCTTTAGTGTTATGACAGCTACTACCATTATTTTTATTGCTGCAAATCTTATTTTCTTTGTTTCGTTGATGACAAAATAAAAGCCACAATTTTTTTATGGCGTGAGCCGGTAAACGAGCCGACGGATCATCTGATGGTAAGCAATCGGCGTCGCCCATGGACACCTGGAACACCAGAGGCGTTACAAGTGCGTAACCGGCCTTTTGGGGATTAGGAGTTTGAGGATCGTTGGGGATTCATGAACTGGGTTATTTTCAGAAATACTGTCAATTTTACATTAACTTTGTAATATTGTACAACATGTGTTATTTGTACTATGTTCTTCTAAGTTGCAGCAGCTTTTCATCTTTCTCTTTCACGCCAATCTAACCCATATTCGTCAATCAATAACACACATTTTCCTTTGTCAACAGTGGCAGCACATAGTGACATACCACTATACATTGGCATAGCTGTAGCAGTAGTGGTCTTCTTGGCTGGAGCAGCAGTGGTCTACAAACTTTTGCAGAGGAAGACCAGGGACCATTCTCTGTACACCATGACGAGAACTGGTAAGTCTCTATGTAATATTTGATGAAAACTTAATTAAATGTAAAAGTTAAAGTTAGTATAGAAGGAACTTGATCAAATCTTTCTTGAGGCAACGTGATGATCATCATTTTTTAAGTCTCTTCTTACCACTGCTGGTTGTCTCGTTGGCCGTTTGTCACAAATGCGACTCCTGGGCAAGGGGTCTCAGGTTCGATTCCCGGGTCGGGCAAAGTATGCCTTTGGCGGAAAGCAAAGAATCATGCAACAATTTTCTCTCAAAAAATACTATTGGAATTACAAAACCATTTAACCATAAGAATAAGGAAATACTAATTAATAAACGTAATCGGTGTGTCGGTGAAATGAATTGCCAGTATTAATGAGTACTGATTAATTCAATTATAGACCACTTACAAGAACTCGAGAACTTCCACTCGGAAGTCCATTTCCTAGCTGTCGACACTGACTTCATCATTATCATAATGGAACATGTCATAAGCAGAACAATACCTAGTTAATATTGGCAGAGTATTCTATGGATGATGCATCTAATTAGCAGTTGTTATAAGACTGATTTAAAAACGGCATGAGCACCGAGAATGTCTTCTTCTATTTAAAAAAAAAAGTAATGGAACAATAAGTCTGTGTTATTCTCTGTTTATGCAAAATTTTATTCAGATCTGTTCAGTAATTTTTGTGTGAAAGAATAACAAAAATTATCCACACCCTCACGGGATACCTATACCTTTAGAACTCTATTTTCATATCGCATAATTAAAATGCCAACATTTTTTCTTCAAGCAGATTTCCAGCCTGAGATGTACCCGACAGTGGAGAAACAGTCTCTGTCTCTGGCACCTGATCTGATGCAGCATCGACCTCCAAGATACGAGCATCCGCAGCCAGACTCTAGAGCTGAACATCATTATGATGTACCGCATCTTACTAATAGGTTAGTTCTATAGTGACATAAAAGTTTATGCTTCGTTTGAATATTTTGTAAGTCGTCATAAGTATGAACGCCAAACATTGTCATCTTCGATTGATTTCTAATTCAGGGAAATGTATTTTGTATCTTCATATCTATCTACGACAGACTTCAAAATTATTCTCCATTTTCAAGGACAGATTCACGCCGGTAATTACTACACTAAGAACAAACAAGTCATCTACAATGCAACGTTGTGGACAAATGCATCCTTACGTACCAAGTACTGCACGAATGACAAACGTGCTGTATCTTGTTCTCATCAACTTGCCAATGTACAGTCTCGTCTGAATGCAATAAAAAACTCGAATCCTTGAGGCTATACAGCTTTGTTAATCCCATTCCAACAGTAAATGGCAAAGCAATAAAAGCCATTCAAGATATTAATTACGCTAGTGACACAGCTCTGAATAACCGTTAAAATCTAAATCAAACAAATAAATTAGCAGAATTATAATTTACAACCAACGTGTCTAATTAAAACAAGTCCTCAGGCAAATCAGGTTAGGACATCTAGCGAATAAATTACAATTAAGATTAAGATTAACAAGTTAACGACTGAACTAGAACAAACAAATACTAAAGATAGCAATGAAATAAATCATAACATTTTTTGCTCAATAACTATGGCGATTAGAAACGCTAATTATACAAGAAGACGCCATTACAAAATACATAATTCATGTCCCCGAATGATTTAGCAACCTAAAACAAATACTACATACGATCTCTGATAGATTCCTCCGATCGTTGATAACGTTTTAATTGAGCAAAAAGTTAATAGATACATGTTTTATGAATGATGTTAATAACAATTTTAGCGATATGTTACTTAACGATAATGTTCCGGATGGATTACTAAATAAATTACTGGTTTCGTTTTAAGTTAATAGTATTACAGCAAAAAATGAACGAATTTTTGCGTCCTCTTTTTAACCAGCGTTCATATTTGAAAGTTTTTCTGGCAGCTGTGCTTCGAACAATAAATTATTATAATATTCAGTAACTTGATTTCGAATTGATTTTATTTCTGAGAAGTATAATCATTGATCTTTGTCTTTTAAATAAAGTCTATTATTGTGGAAAATTATCTGTCGCTGACAGAAATTGAAATGAATAAACTAGGCGTGGCTTGTTTACAAAATAACATCTATTGCTTTAAGAATACGTCACAAATTCCTTCACTTATCTATCACATTATTGACCGGGTTCCTTCTTTACAGCTATGCGTCTCCTGTAGACCATCAGGTGACACCTTGTGCCTCCAGCAAAGGTCAAAGTGATGACTACGACAGCAAGCCTTACAGTGAATCAGAACATTCTGCCTCCAGCTGTTTTACCAGCTGTAAGTTGTTTATAATTTTTCTTACATCATGCCGTTGAAAGTTATAATATCAAATTACTTTTAAATCTCCTATCTTAATACATATCCAAATTTGAAGAGACTTGTTATTACATCTATCCGTCACGCTTCGTATTTAACCAATAAGTACAACTTCACTAACTATAATTTCTCTTCTAGCTGGCTCAATGTACGACGCAGCGAATGAGTCTGTGACTCTCCAACTAGCGGAACTCGTGTCGAACTCGCCTACATCTCAGTCCCTCTCAGTTTCAAGTGCTGGGGCGAGATTGGCATTACCTGCCGCTGGTGTTGCTCTCTCGATCCCCGAAGCAGCCCTTAGTAGGGGCAGGAGGGAACAAATATATGTCGCAGTCGTCAAGGACGACCGCTATCGACCAAGATTGGGAAAAGGTACGAATTATTTTCTTTAGATTAAAATTTCATAATCAAATTAAAATTTAAAAGCCCATTTTTATTATTTAAAGCTGAAATTTTGCTGATGTAATACATAATTAAATTTCGATAAATATTTTCGATGTTCCGCTCTTGTATTTATTATGCCCTAAACCATCAAATTTCTATGAATATTTATGAGTTCAAACTGAATAACTTTGCTTGAATGTAAGTCCAATAAAAATAAATTGATTTTGCGATACGATAGAGAACAATTTCCAGAGGTAATTTTAAACGATATGTAATTATGCTATGGTATCAGCGAGGTATAATTTCTGCTTGCGAAAAAACGGTCGCCTTGGGCAGGCCTGGTTGTAACACACATGTACTACATGTAGAATACAAAGTGCTCACAACAAATTCCGCCCCGCAGGTATCACGCAGCTGAGCCCAGTAGTTAAGTGCGGCCCACCGCGTCTTCAATTAAACAAGTCAGTCATCCTACAAATCCCTCACTGCGCCAGTCTAAAACACGGCTTCTGGAATCTATCGCTGTACGCCATCGACCATAACACAGCTAAAACAGATAATACACAGCCGCAATGGAAGAAAATCGTCGGCCTCGGCCAGGAAACGATCAATACTCCCGTGTTCACTCAACTCGACAATGATAAAATATTCTTAGTGACCGATATGCTGTCTACTTTTGTATTAGTCGGTGAAAGTTTTAATGGAAAGGCAGTGAAGGCGCTTCAATTGGCGATATATGCGCCCGCAGTGCTGAGTGAAACCAGCGCAGATTACAGTATAAGACTTTATGTATTTGAAGACACGCTCTGCGCGGCCTACTACTGTCAGGAACAGGAGAAGAAACTTGGCGGCGTGTTACTCGAGCGTCCCAAAACTTTGCTGTTCCAAGACGGTGGATCGAATCTCTGTTTGAACTTAGAACACGTCAGCCCCGGCTGGAAAGCGAAGCCGGGTATTGGTTACCAAGAGATCCCTTTCCAACACGTTTGGGGTTCGAACTACAACGCGCTGCATTGCAGTTTTGTGCTTGAGAGGACCCACGACTGCGATAATATCGATTTCAGCGTATCCGCCTGTCAGAGAACCAATCCGTCATACAAGCAGACATTCCGAATATCCCTCGATGACGTGCGGAGCCGATCACCGCGGGGACGTTCACCCCGCGCTGAGTCGCAGCGCAGTTTTAACATAACTGAAAACCTTTTAGAGGCTCGTATGTGCCGCAGCGAAGACGGGAGCGATGGCAGCGTTAAAAGGAACGTAACAGTTAGTGAGGCGGGCGTCAACGAGTGCGCGGGCGAGGGCCCGTTTAAATTAAGTGCTCGAGTAAAAAGGCAGTTATGCGCTATATTAGACCCACCGAACGCGCGCGGGAACGACTGGCGGGCGCTGGCGTCGAGGCTGGGAGTAGATCGTTACACGACGTGGTTCGCCACAAAGAGCTCGCCAACAGAGGCTATCCTGGAGCTGTGGGAGTGTCGCGAGCGCGGACCGGGTGCCACCGCCGCACTGGCCGCTGCGCTGCGAACTATGGACCGGCACGATGCCGCCGACCTACTGCACGGCAGGCCATCCTGGTTATGAATTCCTCGTAGACCCCACTCCCAATCTAATTAATGACTTCAAATTTTCGGTACGTATCCGAATGAATGTTATGAGACTATCGTGAATGATGATATTTGTGCTACTATAGGCCTATACGAACGAATGTACATGGACGATTGTTGGTAAACTAATGAGTAGTTTAAATGTTATGTTAGAAAAAAGTATAGTTTCGTAGGCCGACGGCCTAAGTTTGTAAAATCTTCGTAGTATATTTTGTATAGAATATTCTATGCTGTAGATAAGCGATTGATGAATAAATTATATTATATTAGCAATAATAGTGCCTACAATGTCTTTTAAAGAAACATTGCCGACTTGAGACGGTCGGCGTCAGTTGGTTATTTCGTTATTTTTTGTATAGTGTTTGAGTGTTTTATTAACTGAGAAATTTGCTTATTTTTCTACTTTATTTGCTCGCAATAATTTGGACTTGCTTCTTATAGATTCGAACTTTGTGCCAAATAATGACTGCCACAGCAAAATTTTGGCAATATTATCTAAAAGAGAATGTTATACGTGTCTAACTCTGAGCTTATTTAGCTACTGTTTATAGTTACAATATACATAAGCAATTTTATTTGATGTTAGATGAATTTGCAATATTTATAAGACACGATGAACTTTTATCAATCACTGCTATCTTACTGAATGTATTCACTGCCGCGTACATGAACTGAATAATGTGAAATTCATCTAATACTCTCTTGTACTATAAAAGACTCCACAACTGCATTTATAACTAAAACTATTTCAATGTAAACTACTATTAAGTCCAACTTCTTGATTCTCTTTGTACGCGATAACTATGGACCAATTTTACCATGTTTCTTATTCTTCCTACTAGCAATAGTTGCATCACAAGCATGATAGAACCACATCATCAAACAAAGTATTGATTCCTTTACACAATTCCCCAACTAATAGCTATTTAGAAGTATACAGAGACCCACACTGCCACTAATCACTGCCCTTCTAAATTATCGCGTACAGAACAGAACTGAACAATTTCAGCTACCAATAGAAAAGATCTTGCTATCTTCGTCTTTTTACATCGTTCGCTGTCGTAATGGGACTGGAAAGAATTGAGGCTATTAAACTAATAGGGATATAGAAATTCTGGATTAATCTAGATCGTTTAAAAAATATAAAGTTAAATAGGCTTGTTTATATTTTTAGAAACACATAGGATGCAATAAAAATTGTAGGGTGTCGCCAAAATGAAAGCAGTGGAGTAAGGACTTATCTTTCGACTTTGACTCGACTTTAATATGACTTTTAGAGGCTGATATGCAAGGAAAATAACTTCTCTTCATTTACCCAAAAATACTTTTCTAACTTATGTCCAAATACACAAATACAACTAAATTTTAAGACGCGCTTAGGTGTAGTTCTATCACTACAAATTCTTTGTGAACAGAGATGACATGGCATTCAAATACAACTTAACAACATATTCGGGCATTATATATTAATCGTACCTAACTGTTGCTTTAGCAATTTGAGTATTCAGTATTCAAAAAAGTTAATCGAATTCTCAGTTATTAATGACTATGGTTAAGTAGTGTTAACATTATCATGGGAAGCTAACGTTATAAACATCTGCCTACACCCACCCCATAAAACAGGTGTTATTTTCATGTTATAATTATAACAAAGGTACAGTTTGTGGTAACGTGTTGTTTATGTCATGAATGACAATCGATTTACAAAGACCATTTAAAAAAAGTATTAACCCGCTATGCGAATACAGATTGGCGCAATGTGTTTTCTATTGTAATTCATATACAATCAAGCGGTTAATGAAGCTCGATATAAAATCAATTACCTAAATAAGATATTTGCATTGATTTCCTGTTTGTTTTTCATCTAAATATAAAAATTGTGGAACAAAGTTACGTATTCATTGCAATTAAAATTGTATGAAACGAACGAACAAAATTTAATATGAAAAATCCCTCTGGCGTTACAACGCGATCGGTGTTATCAAGTTGTCATTGCACGCGGTGAAAGTTAAATTAAAAATGTTTTTATTCATTGCATACTTTTACTACATCATGATATATAAACTTCTCGGAGAGGTAGACTGATAGTAACTACAGGGTGGCAAGTCAGCATAATGCCACGGGCCCCAGCTATTAGCTTGTCTGATTTTCATTAGCAAAAGTCATTTTTGGGGAAGCCTATGTCCAGCACTGGACGTTTTGTGTCTGATTCTGACTATCATGATGATTAATAAATTCTTACAGTCCAATTTCGACAGTGTAACGAGCCAATAGAGATCATTTTCTATAAATGTATATAATGTGATAGATTGTAAATATCATGTATCGCAGTTATATAGTAGTCGGAACATAATATGCTATGTAATGGTGACGTCATCACCCGGTAGACTATATATATTTTTGTTAACGTGATGAATATTAAAATAAATGGATCTGTGATACTTAAATAATATGAAATAAATTATGTTTAACTGTGCATTTCTTTTGTTTTATTTAATAGAGTGTTTGTATCTTTCTTTGGTAAGTATTCGAATGTTTCTAATATATTTTAGCATCTTAAAATAAGTCTCGATATTATTAAATGGCAAATAAAATAGGTCAAATCATTTCATAGTCATTTATTTCAATATCTGTGATTACAAAAAAAATGATTACAATGATCCTTTAAAATCTACTGAATCAAATAGAAATTACTGAACACGATACGCCAAGGAGGTCACCGGTAACCAACGTCCATTTAAGATTTGTTTTCAATAGTTTGTATTGACAGTCAAAGACACATTTGACTGCCTCGTTGGCCGAGTGGTCGCAAGTGCGACTGTCGGGTAAAGGGTTCGATTCCCGGGTCGGGCAAAGTATTACTGGGTTTTAAAAAAAATCTCAATAGTAGCACGGAGTCTGGAATTGTGCCCGGTATATGGCAATAGGCTCACCCCCTATTACATGGGACTCATAACTTAAATAGTGAACAGTAGGTGTTTCATTGTACAGTTGCATAATGAGCACCTCTGCCTAAACCTTCGGGGATAAAAAGCGTGATGTTATATGTATATATATGTAATCTTTTCCTCCTAAAACTATTTTTTTGAAATTTTCAAATAACATTAGAATCTTAGAACCAACAAAAATCATAAAACCTAACACAAAATTCCTTGGAATACACCTGGCTGAGAATGCCAGAGATACTGGGGCATGCCTACTATGACGCTGCAGTGAGGAGACAAAGGATTCCGTGCCATTGAGCACTGAGCTGAAGTATGCGAGGGTTGCGACATACTTTGCACGCAGGTTTATGTGTAGTGGAGGACCTTCATTGTCCCCTTTATGTGTGTAATGTTTAACAGTACCTGTGTATTTAATCTGTAGGTATACTGTATAGTAGGTGTGGGAGAGCCATGCTTCGGCACGAATGGGCCGGCTCGACCGGAGTGATACTACGGCCTCACAGAAAACCGTCGTGAAGCAACGCTTGCGTTGTGTTTTGTCGTGTGAGTGAAGTTACCGGAGGCCTAATTACCCTCCACTTCCCCAATCTCCCCAATTCCTGAATCCCCAACGATCCTTAAACTCCTAATTCCCCAAAAGGCCGGTAACGTACTTGTAACGCCTCTGGTGTTCCAGGTGTCCATGGACGATGCCGATTGCTTACCATCAGGTGATCCGACTGCTCGTTTACCGGTTTATGCCATAAAAAAAAGCTACGTGACGTCGCCATAACTGTGCACGCTACTCATGAGGAAGAGTCCCTCTGTGACTCAAAACTTTAATTTAATTTCAACTTTTTCTCAATATACGTGAGTATATCGTTATTTTTAGTTTATTCTATATTTATCTAGTCAGTCAACAGATTCTTGATTTAGCTACATTAAACAGATAGAGTACACAAGAGTCTTGCAGGTTCAATCCCTGAGTTAAAAGGTATTAAACTCAAAAAAGTTTACCAACTGAAAAAAGATAAAGGTCATCGTCAGAGGAAATAGAAACCAAGTTTATTGCGATTAAGGTCATTTTACAATGGTTTAGCGTTATAACAGTTTACCAAAAAATATTACTAGGTAAGTATCAAGATATAGTAGAGAGCAATGTTCTACAAAAAACATATCGCATCGGTATCGAACGTGATATTTTGTAAATTACGTAACTCATATATATACCTATTAGACACAAGAACCGAATGTCAGTAATTAATCACTATAATAATATATTAAAGACCGAATGCATAGGTCGTATGTTATTATTTTGTAAGCGTTCTATGCACAACCCATCATTATATCTTTCTAATCTCGTGAAACAATCCATAACAACTAGAAACAAACATGCAATCAATGTTTGTAGGTCAAACGTATAATTGTAAATCTTTGGAGAATGTTACAGAGACTGACTGAACAAATTCAGAAAATGAAATTAAAATAACAAAGTTACTTTTTACCAATTGTTCATGGAAGTGCCTCGTTGGTCGAGTGGTCGCAAGTGCGACTGCCGAGCAAGAGGTCTCGGGTTCGATTCCTGGATCGGGCAAAGTATTACGGGGTTTTAAAAAAAATCTCAGTAGCAGCACGGAGTCTGGAATTGTGCCCGGTATATGGTAATAGACTCACCCCCTATTACATGGGACTCATAACATAAATAGTGAAAAGTGGGTGTTACATTGTACAGTGGCATAATGTGCACCACTGCCTACCTCTTCGGGAATAAAACGCGTGATGTTATTATATGTTCATGGAAGTGCAAAGAAAGTCCATAAAAAATGAAAACTAGAATAAATGTAGAACGAAATGAAAACAGTATACAACCGACTATACAAAAAGGTAAAAAACTTATTTTAACTTCACAAAGAAATGCCTCATTATAATCAATATACAAACAACAACTAATCAGTGCTTAGTACTGTGCTAGTGCTATAGTACTAAACAATTCGCTTCAAACTCAAACTCCAGATAAAGTTAATCAACTTACTAAAAGTTACTTAAATAAATTCTTAAATCTATTCACTATTTCCAACATAACATAACATCACGCCTTTTTATCCCCGAAGGGGTAGGCAGAGGTGCACATTACGGCACTTAATGCCACTGTACAATGTATCACCCACTTTTCACTATTTATGTTACGAGTCCCATGTAATAGGGAGTGAGCCTATTGCCATATACCGGGCACATTTCCAGACTCCGTGCTACTACTGAGAATTTTTTAAAAACCCAGTAATACTTTGCCCGACCCGGGAATCGAACCCGAGACCCCTTGCCCGGCAGTCGCACTTGCGACCACTCGGCCAACGAGGCAGGCAACTATTTCCAACTAAAATAACAAAGTTCGGTTCTTATAAAATAACAAAAATAAGTTCGTAGATGATTCAAGTATTTGCCTACAAAACGTCTAACATCAGAACCAAACATTCCCAGTACAGAGCAAAGGTATGTAGAAATCTCTAAACAAGTTAGTCAACTAATTGATTCTTTAGCCACACACTTATACGCTTATTCCACTAACAACACCACATTCTTGTTCACGCATCGTCTGCAACTTCTTCTGTACTGTTTGAGAGATCAAACAAAGATGGCCGAATCGAATTGACCGCTCGAATGCCTAACATAAAACAAAACCGAACGAAAGTGAGGAATGTCAGCTATTTACTAAACTTAACTTTGAACTGGAAGAGTGACAGGCGAAGGAAATGTGGTAATATATTAGGAAACTGTTTCGGTGTTCGGCGTGTGATCTAAGGACGGTTGGGGACAAAAGTGGAGTATGTTTATTTGTTTCGAAAGTTGTTGAAAAATGTCAGCTTTATTTTAATATTCTTAAGGTAGAATATAAAATGTTATTTAAAATTATTCCAAAAAGCTTCAAAATAACACTACGGAGTAGCTGTATTGAGATTTAGAATGCAATCGATTCTAATACATTTTATTTTGGTAATCACATAACTACGTATGTATATCTAGTAGTCGAGTGAAACGATCAAATGATGATAATGATAGACTAAACGACGTCTTACTGTAATTATTAACTAAAATTACTTTTTACTTTGTATAAAAAGACAGAAATTAAATATTTACATCACTTCTTCCATCGACTTTACAAAAAAACGCCGTCCTATTGTTGCGTATACGCATGTCGGCAGGTGTGAGCTTGCGTGGTGACGGGTTAGCGTCAAACGTCATGCGCCTGCGTCACGGTAGCGTGACCAAGTGATGGTGTCAGTTGCAGCGGACAGCGGAACAAAAAAAAATTACACTTTAAATGAATTTCAACCTAAGAACCTTATAGTAAAATCTAAAGTACAATATCGATATTTGGCATATCGTAAGTTGATCTGCTAACAAAAATAGAAAGAATATAACTTTAAATAGAATTTCAACCTAATCTGCGCTTAGAATAAAATCGAAAATCTATTGACAGATTAGAATAAGTTAATCCGCAGTTAAAAAAAATAAGAAAAGCAAATTGGAGTAATTCAATCAGCTGTCATCAATATGTATGTGTACTACTTTTACAACAGCAAAAGCATTAAAATGATTTGGTAGGTAAATAATATTGAATCGGATGATCCAATTTCATTAGCTTCTGTCTGTCAACTGGTGTTGATGAGGATCGATTTCTACTTGACACTGTTTTTGAGAGTAATTTAATATTTGTTAATGATGGCTTACAAAATGATGAGGTTGAAAAGATGTGAATCAAGCTTCCTTGTGCGTACTGCTAAAGAGTGGAATTCTTTGCCAGAGTCTGTATTTCCTGAAGGATAGAACCTGGGTGTCTTCAAACCCCGAGTGTATAGGTTGCTTATGGAACGACGTGCTCTATAGTAGCCACATCATCGTTTACCACCAGGCGGGATAGTGGTCAAACGTCGAACCATCAAATAAAAAAAAATTATCAGCGACATAATTTGGTTAAAAAAAGTTACTTTGAAATGGAGTGCAAAGAGTTTTAAATAGACGCAGATCGCATAGATACTGTCCAATCCCCGAAAGGCATGACACGACATGAAGATGGTACGTTTTTAACTCAGATTAAATATAACATTATAGTTTTTAATAGAACTACACTCACTGACTAGAACTAAACTTACTAGACCGCCTCTTTGGCCGAGTGGTCGCAAATGGGACTGCCAAGGGGTCTCGGGTTCGATTCCCGGGTCGGGCAAAGAAACACTGGGCTTAAACAAAATCTCAGTAGTAGCACGGAGTCTGGAATTGTACCCGGTATATGGCAATAGGCTCACCCCCTATTACATGGGACACATAACATAAATAGTGAAAAGTGGGTGTTTCAATGTACAGTGGCATAATGTACGTCTACCCCTTCGGAGATAAAAGGCGTGATGTTATGTTATGTTTTTAATAGAACTAAAAAAAGTTATCCACATTAAGTCCAAAACATTTCGATAACATCAACAAAACTGTTCATTTATCGCTATAACAGCCACCACACAACCGCATACATTTTGGGAATGCATTT